AAATCCTTCTCTGACTACTTATGGCTTTCAGGAAGATGTCTAAACTTCCTAAATTTATCACATAAGGCTTGTCATAATCTAGTCCCCACCAAAATAACTAGTATCATTTCTGCTTATATAGTGAAATTAATTATGCTCAACCACCTGCATTTTATTTAACAATGGATGATGTTTCGTGACTCCAGGTTTTTAAACATTTTTCACCTATAATAATGTTTTTTACCTATAATAATTCCAAATACACCCACAGTGTTCATAAATGTCTTCTTCATTGCTGCAATCCACCCCAGCTTTAAAAAGTATCTTTTTACCCAGTTTGGTTAACTTTGTCCAGGAAATAGAAATATACATCTCCTTTGCACACTTGTTTGGGGAAAAAAAGAGAAAAAGGTACATCTAACAGCATAGTTGACACAAAACAGAAGCTAAATAATTAGCAGCCTGTACAACATACAGTACTGAATTGATTATCTGTCTTTTCCACTAGTCTAAAGTTTCTCAGCCTTGACACTACCAACACATTAAGCTGGATAATTCTTTATGGCAAGAGGCTATCCTGTGCACTGCAGAATGTTTAGCAGTATCTGTGGCCTCTACCCACCAGAAACCAATAGCACTGCTGTTGTAATAACCAAAAATGTTTCTGAACATTACCAAATATTCCCTCAAGGGCAAACCCTACCCCAGTTGAGCATCACTGCCCTAGATCATAAGCAATTCAAGAGCAGAAACTAATTATTACTCATTATTGTATCTCCAGGTACCTAGTACTAAAGCCAGCACTTAGTAGGTGTTCAATAAATCACGTCAGTAAGAACCAAAATTCTGCCATCTAGCACTACAGATTTGTTTTGCCCATTTTTGAAACATATGTAAATGTATATATTATTTTTATGGCTTCTTTCATTTAACACTATGTTGTGAGATTCATCCATATCACTGCACATTGCTGCAGTTAATTTGTACTTGAAGTATTTCTACTTCTGTATACAGGTATTTCTTTTTATTAATATACTATATCTTCTTAGATATTCTATTATTTGGACATTGGGCTGTTTCCAATTTGTAGCTAGTATGAATACCATTGCCATGAATAATATTTCATATGTGTTTTGGTTACAAGTCAGGATAGTAGTTAGCCAGAGGAGGAGAGAACAGTGGGTGAGTAGTACTAACATTCTTTCTTGACTTCAGTGGGGTTACATGTGTATATCCATTTTGTGATAGTTCATTAAACTCTCCATTTATTATTTGTGAACTTAGAATTTTGCATACTTCATTTAAAGCTTTTTAATTACTAAGAACATGACAGATATGCAAATAAAAAAAGGGGGTGGGGATCCTGGTAAACATCCAACAACGCAAATATTCATGTGAAAACTACATGGCCAAATTCATTTGTATCAAAGCATATTAAAACAAATGTATTTTTATACTTTTAATCTTTAATAGCCAGTGAGATGCAAGGGAAAATATCTGCTGTTAGTGAAAATGTGAACTGATACAACTTTTCTAGAAGGCCATTTGACAATATACACTAAAGCCTTTAAAATATATGATTAAAAGTTCATCTTACAAAAATAAATCAAGCAAATGTGTGAAAATATGTGAGAAAAAACAAGAATTTATATTAATATATGAGGATATTTTTCATGGAACTGCTAATAGTAAAAAACTAAAAGCAAATATTCATTAGTCAATTAGTTAAATACATTATGGTATGTCCATTCAATAGAATACATGCAGCCACATTTAATGACATGAAACAATGTTTATAATTCATTAAAACAATTTACAAAATTACACATTTATAAGGGAGAAAGACAAATATGCCTAGAAACAAAATGTCAAGGACAAAAGCGAAAATCTTAACTTTTGTTATCTTTGAGAAGTGTTTTTTTTTAATTTTTGCTTTTTATTAAGGCCTATATACCTTCTAAGCTTTCTGTAAGGAATATGTAAACAATATAAAAATATAGTTTTATGTAAATAAGTGTATCAACAAAAGAAAAAGAAAATAGAGAAATATCACCTAACACAGTGTTGGGGACAATGGCAGCTTCTAGTATATGTTAGTACATATACTTGTGGCATTCCTCAAAGGGTTATTGAATTGACTTTTATAAGCATGGTTGAATCTTATGTGCTTTATACTGTGTGTACGAAGAAGCCAACCTCAGATAACATTTCAGAGAGCAAGACTTCCTTCAGAAGGAGGATATTGCTTTATATTTGGAATCTTATTCTAGAGATTAGGAAATGGACGAGCTAGTTGCATTTATAGGATTTTTAATATACTATTGCTTAAAGTATAATTTTCTTCTCTACCATCCAGCAAGATCGCTTAACAAAAAGTGAATATGATTTCAAATTTTAAATCTATGATGGCTTTTCCATGATGGGTTAAATCTTTCTCCTCCTCTAAATGGAATACAAATATCAATGCAATATATGCAATATATGCAAAGCAGCCACACACACACACAAAAAGCCAATTGTTGGTATGGAAGAACCATGATCATTGAAAGCCATCTATTAAGAATTAAGAAAATTTTTCATTTTTGTTTTGCTTCACAGGAGTCTTGCTAATAAGCACTTCAGGCTTGTACCAGATAAGTAATGATTTCCTCTAAGTCAGTAAACTCCAACATTGATTGCATTCACTTATAGTAAATATAACTATAGCAAACCCATTCTCAAATGTAGATTCTCTTTCCAAGGCTGATTTATAGTCACTGTTGTTTCCATTTCTGAGAAAAAGAATCAACTTAGCCAAAATGTGCTTTTTAACTCCTGCCTAGGAGTATGTCTCCAAGGCAGACTCCATCCATACACTATGAAGTATTGCTGAGGGGACCATCACACCAGCTTGCACAGGACAGTCCTGGTTTACACCTAATGTCTCTGTGCGGTTATTAATGGCAGCCCCTTTCACCTGCGATGTGCCAGGTAGAGTAATACATCATATGGCCAGTCTATTGTTCATACATAGTACATATAATGCTAGCTCTAGAACTTGGAATAAATCCCTTGATCCACCTACACTCTTGCCTTATCGTCCTTGTGCACTGATAGTCTGCAATAAAAAAAAGTCTACAGGATAGTCATGGACACAAATCATATCCCCCCACCCCAGTCTTAAAGCAATCTGAACAGGAATCCATTTCAAGGTGGACCCTATCCCTCCCTCTAGAAGTTCATAAATTATGAGAAACAAATCACTAGGTAGCTCAAATCATATACCTTAAGGACAAAATACATATTTGTAAAAATCAGCTATCTACTTTTGCTGGGAGTTGTATCCCTCCTAGTTATTAATACAAACAATTCCATGAAATGAAGGCAGATCCCAATTTCCTCTAAGCCTAAATATTTCTATCTCTGCTAATAGCAAAACTATTCACCTAGTCATCTTAGCTAGAAACCTTAGGATCAATTTTGATTCTCCTTCTCCCTGTGCAGTTAAGTACCAAACTTCATTGGCTCTCTTTTGAAAGCCTCTGGAACTCATTGCCCACAAATCTTTCGCCAGAACAAGATTTCTAATCTACAATTGCTATAGCAGCCTTCCTCTAGTTTTTCTTCCTCTCCAATTCATCTCCTTCACTTCTGCTAGAATTATCTTAAATAAAGTAATCTCTTTAGTCCACTGCCTGCTCAGTACCCTCAGATAATACACACACAGACTTCTCAGCCTGGCATTCCACACCCTTATCATTATACTCAAGCCTCCCTTTCCACCCTCAATTCCAACCACACCTCCCACGAGGCACATGATGCCCAACGGCTCTCGTCCAGCAATGGTATTGCTCTCCTAGGTCTTTAGAAATGTTTGGGGACATGTTTGCTTGTCACAGTATTGTGAGGACACAAAGGACATTTAATGGGCAGGGACCAAAAACACCAGGTGTCCAGCAATGTAGGACAGGTCCCATGAAACAGACTTGCCTTGCCAAAATGCCAAACAGCACCCCAGGTGAGACTTCTTGTTCCTCAAACATTTTTTTTTCTTTTTACATACATGGTTCCTTCTTTCCAGAATTTATTTAATAAATAACCCTCCACTAGAGTTCTGCCTCCTTCCAAAATAATATCATCCTTGGATGACACAACTCAAAATTTCCTTCTTATCTAACGACCATCTCAGCAAAATAGTCACATTCACAGTGTGTTAATGGGAGATCATTAAATCACTCTATTTGAGAGTGATTTAATGCCTACTGATATAGCACTTAATGCATTAAGTTATGATTAAACTGCTTATCCAACTGTCATTTTACACCGTGGTCCCCTTTTTTTTAATCCCCTTCTACTTCCTAAAAATTTGAGCTCTTAAAGAAAGGAATCTTCTTTTGGTGTCTTTTTTTAAACTCCAATTTCTACAGTTGACCTAGAAGATGAGACTCACCCTGTAAGTGATTTTTTGGATTAAAAGATGAGAAGTTGTACCCTCATTCCTATGTACAAAATGCTATTCCTTAACCACTTTTACAGTTGTTTAACTTAAACTCAGAAAGTTACATCTTTATCAGTAATGATGCTTAAAGAAACCTAAAATGCATATATTTAACTGCAGATTAGACTAAAGCAGTATTACAAACTCAGGTAAAAATAGAAACTGTGGTAAACCAGAGAGATTGTTCCCAGTATAAAGTATTTAAATTTGATTTATTTTTTGTTTTTGTAAGCACTGCATAAGTACTCCTTACAAATGGTCTGCCTAACAAGTCTGTTTGAGATCCTTGTCATAAAAATATACTCACCAAAATATTTTCTTAAAAAATAAAGAAAATGTGCGCAACAGTGTGATATACTTCCATACAAAATACTAAGTAAAATTGCTCCTGTTCGACCCCACTAATTTGTGCAAGTTTGAGCTTAAACTATTTCTACAGCCTATTACAAATATATCCTTTGTTTTTCCAGACAAAATTTCCAACTTGGTTCATCCCCCAAGTTGCATATTCAGTAGAACAGGATAGACAAAGCCAAATGCTCACTTGCACATCTGTTCATGTCTGGGGCTCGGTGTCCGTAGTACCCCGACGGGCAGGAGTGTAGGCACTCTCCATACTGGCGCATCCCTTCTCTTCGAAGAAAGAAGAACAACTTCTGCTGGCATCGGCTACAGCCATTGTCCTTTGAACAAGACAAACAACCCTTGCAAATGGGATTTGATACATAACTAGCTGTAAAAGAAAAAGAAACAAGTATTTAAATATGAATATCATCAAACTTCTGGTCAATACACCATGCTGAAAGGACAAAATGTTTCTTGTCTTTCTGTTCTACTCACATAGAAATACTAGACAAAATGTCCCTCCCCCTCCTACTCCCCCCAACTCCCACTAAGAAAGAGTTAATACACAAACTTAGAAGAAAAGAGGAAACTCAGAGGCAGAAGTGAGGCTAGACGTGGAAACTGAATGAAGTTTCAGACCAGACAGAGGTAGAACTGACACTTAGCTCCCTCTACGTTGACAGGAGTAGAGAGGGCTGTTGGCACGTAAGTACTATGATCCCCCTGCCCCAACTGGCCAGAGCAGAGGATTCCAACCCTGGATTGGGGGCACCAAGGGGGTAAGCACAGGACAGAGAAAACATACCATAAGACATAAGAACCCCAAGCCTGCATGAGATCCAGGTGTGGGATCCAAACTCAAATTATTGTTATAGCATAGTATGGGGTCCCTAAGTCAAGAAGTTAACACAAACTTATCCAGATCCAGGAAAACCCAGAAAGAAAGATATATATAAAACTATCCTCTAGAAATTTCCTATAATCCTGAGACTTTCATGGAAAATGAGAATTGTATAAGCAGAAGGTTCTCTGTCCCATAGTCATCACAAACTAAAGTTGAAGCTGTACTTACTTTCAGTTCAAAAGTTAATCAAGAGCTCTTTATCACCATAAACCACAATCCCTAGTAAGAAGTATGGAGGAAAGAGAATTATAGAACCAAGAGAATCAACATGAATTAAAGGCCTTTTCTTTTGTTTTCATTATGAGAGGTCAACTTTCATCTTGACCACAAAGATTGCAGAGTCAACAAATTGTCCCCTGTATTTTTTTTTTAAAGGTATTCTTAAAAGCATTAAAAGCACTGCTTTATTTACGTGAACCTCGACAGACTTAAACAATGAGAATGAATTAGGGAATACTTACCCCAGTCCAATATTTTAGGTATCTGTCTAACCCTACACAGGAGGAATTCTCTTAAAGTAAAAGTGAGGGGAACCACACCCAACGTAAGTGCTCTCTCCCCCCTTCCTCCTATCATCTTCAGCCATAACACTGATTGATGCTGAAGAAAAAGACCCCATGTGTTTTTTTTTTAATGTAATTTGAAGCTTTTTGCCCAAACCTAGAATAGACTTTTCAGTTTAACCACTGTATAGTGTCAACTATTCTAGTGGCCTTCTCTGTGTTGCAAATCAACAGCATAGTAATTCACAAGACCTTCTCCATCCATTATATGGTAACTACATCAACCTCTGTATCTAAATACAGGCACAAATAGACATTTAAACGTGACTAAAGTAATTTACTTTTGTCAGGATCTTAATAAGTCAAGTGGCTCTGTCCATTGCTATGAGATTTAATTCAAATGTGCAGGTGAATAAACAGATCTTAATTCTCAGCTTTGATGACCATGTTTATTTGCTCTCTCTGTAAGCTTCAACTTTTCCAACCCTGAAGCCCGCTGAGATCCAGAGCCTGGTCATTCCAACCAAAACACTTTTCTGCAGCTAGCTCCACCCAAATTCTAAAGATGAAATGTTTCACCCAAAACATTAAAAATCCTGAAAAGAGTGACAGTGATTCTAGCTCAAACTCACAAATATGTAGATTTAGAAAACAAGAAAAACCATGACTCAGAAACAAGGTTAACAATACCCATATCACGAGCAATCATAACAAGAGAAACAACAGCGTTAAGAAGAACTTTTTACTTCTAATTCTAATAGTCGATTTGTGTTCCTTCTAAATTTCAAAGTTTGGCCTTTTTATGAATCCTGATATTTTAAGTTTGATCCTTTGTTAAATCAAATCCAGTTATTCACATTTTATCTCATAGCATTTTGTGTAGGTGTTGAATGCCCATCTGTTTCCAATATACTCTTGACGTTTTTAAGAAGTGTTCCCCTGTTTTTGGAGTTAGCCCTTGCCAAGCAAGAAGAAATCTAAATTCCTTCTAGGTGAAGGCATCCATTCCTGACAAAGGTACAGATTTCTAATTCTGAAAGTAATGGAACTAAACAATGGGCTGTTGGCATCTTAGCCTCATTCCATATTTGCTGGTTAAATAATGTTGCAATTTCAACAGATTTTAAAATGAACAATTAATATTAAGTTCAATCAAGCTTATCATTAAATTACTAATATGTATCTCTGCCTAACCCCAAGTTCAAGACATGTATTTAAAAAAGAAAACCTACTTCTGGCACCAATAACAGGGAATTTGCATGTGGGATCCTACATAAATCAAGTTGGACACAGATGCTCCCCACTGGAGCTTGGCAACCCTGGAATAAAAATACTGTAACCATCTATACTATCAAGTTCAAACTCAGTTAAGCAATCAAGGTCATGAATTAATGTGCCATTTGACCAAAATGAGAAATGCCTGTCTTAGGATACTTTGCTCAGTTTCATATAAAATTGTAAATATTTACATGAAATATCTTCGTAGAACATGTAATCTCATTGTTAATGTAAAGACAACAAATTTTAATGCTAGACGTTCACCATTATAATTATTGTGCCCTAGATAGAAAATACTAAAATTAAAAATGCTAATAAAGCTTAGAGATGAATTTCTAAATTTTCTTTAAAGTTCTAGAGGGGCTATATTAACATGAATTTAATCCAGAACAAAATTTACATATAGTAACCAAGAGCAAAACTTATGCCAAAATTTCCAAACCTTTAGAACTTCTAGAACTATATTTTGAGGTACAAGGCTTGCAAAGCTTTAATTTCCCAAGAAGTGGTAGCTTTCAGAAATTCGTATTAATTGGTTACCTATTATTTGGAAATTAATAATACCATTTATACATCTAAATTATGTCAATTAGAAATAAAAGATTAGATACTTATATCAAGAAATATTCCTTAAAATAATATTTCTAAAAACGTATAAGCTCCTCAAAATATGGAAAGCATCTCTAGAAATAAATGTTTTTAGTAATATCAGGGTTAAAGGTCTTTAATCTTATCATTTTGTTTCTCCTAGCAAAATATGTATTTACCTTACAAAAACTCCAAACAAGGAGAAACCAGATTTTATAATACAGAGGAAGAGAGAATCACAGATCTGTTTTAATACATGAAATGCTAGTATCTTCCAAAAAAATGGAGAAAATTACCATATACTATAAGGCCCTAATTACTCCACTGTGCCAGGACCATTTGAGCTGTAATCCTCAAACACTGACACCTCAGAAGTACATTTACAACCATGAGTAACTATAGCCATAGTGTGGTTCACTGACCAGGATATATTTAACACAGCACAGGGAAGCAGAAAGTCTCTATGAGGCGTGTGTCATGCATGCTTCAAGTCTAATTTAAATAAAGATGTCACAGAGAAGCTCAGAATACTTAGTAACTGCAGGTCAAGGAAAGACAAGGAACCAAGATATGACTGCGAAATAAATGTGGGAAGAGTCTCACATGGTTCTGTTTGAAGGCACAACCGATCTGTCCAGAACATGATTCTCCTTTTAACTTAACAGCTTACAGACATTACTAAAATTCAAAGCAATCTGCCCACTGGAGAAGATTGAAAAGATACACCAAAAACAAACCTAAAGGAAAAATAACTCTGGATCAACACATTTTACCTTGAAACACAGGTAAAACATGTCTCGTCAACATGTTTTGCCCAAAACATAAGCAGCTGAAGCAAATGTGGGGTGCAATTCTGGTGGTAGGAGACAGATATTCCAAAGTAGCTTCTGAATGCATATTGATGGCAATGCAAGGTGTTTTGTTTTTTTTTTTATCAGCACCTACCAGGTCCTGATCCTCAAGGCTCAGCACCACAGAGAGGGGACTCAAGGAAAACTAAAATAAGCACAGAGTCAGTCATATTCTAGCCTATGCCAAAGTGAGAAGCTCAAGTAGAACAGAAGAATTCAAATGAAGTAAGTGGGATTTGGAAATTCTCCAGAAACATTTCCAAAACCAGTCATTAATACCTAAAGAAAAAGAAAGTCACTATGTATAGACTGCAATACAAAGTTAAAATCATGGGCTCTCAATTTAGCACATGCAAGTCTCCAAATGATGAAGCACTTTCCACAATGAACACTGACTTTGAGAAGCCAAGCCCTGTAAGAATTACTTCTCTTTGCCCCCACAAACTCTTTTACACACAGTTTTCAAGCATATCCCTAACACTAGTGTTAATTTACAGGCAGTGAAAGAAATGTACAATTAAGGATAGGAACACACATCACAATTAAACTATTAAAAAGTGGGCAAAACATGCCACCAGAGTCACGGAGCTCTTCAGCTTGTACAACCGCTAACGCTAATGACATTCATTAGATGATAAAATCAAAAACATAGATAGGATGGTTGAGTACTGCTCATTTTTCCATAAAGTGATGATGTTTTTGAAACAAGGGTAGAACCATATGGTAGGTTCTGTAAAATAAGCCACCTGCTTGAATCCATGAGAGAAAAGAATTTACTCCATAAAACTCTTTTACTGACAAAAGAAAAGCAAACTTGCAGTTAGAATGTGTGTGATCCAATAAGCCTTGGCTAGAAACTGCTGTGTAGTCCAGATTACTCATGCCAAGTGTTGGCTTGAGCTTTCACAACTCACTTAAAAGTTCCTGTGGAAATGTTGACAGACCATTGGTGCTAATGGTAACCCCAACATGAGCAGATCTAAAGATATACATTTGTGAAGATTGTGAAACCACCACTCTCAGGTGGTTCCATGTTTACATAGGGAGATAATCCAATTATTCAAATAGAAAAACACAAACTGCTCAGAGCCAGATTTTTGTTCCCTGTAGTACTTAAATACTTCTTATATTAACGCTATTTAAAAACAGTTTTGCATACTTTCAAAGTACTGTAACTGAAGTGCCACAGTGTCTGACCTATCCAACTGCCTGTAGGGAAAATCTTCCCCTCCTGCCTATTCAAATATTAAATTGTTTCTTAAAA